TTAACCATATCAAAAATATTGAAGTAGTGTGTGTGTGTGTGTGTGTCTTTTTGTATTCATAAAGTAACAAAAGTTGTTATTGGGGATAGTGAGGTAAGAGTGAGAAAACATTTTCAGAACAGTCAATCACTTGAGATGTAATATTTGCTCTGCCATTCACCAACAGAGAACCTGTTTTGTCCAGCCTCCCTGATTTTAAAGTAAACAGATCCTTGACAGCAAGAGACATCCAGTATGATTAAAAATGGTTTTTAATTGAAAGTTGGGAGGGCACATTTTTCTCTTGACTTAATTGTACACTGAAGCTATGATTTAAGTGAATTTATGATTCTGTGAACACAATGCAGTGAACATAATGCAGAGATAGGGAGATGATTTTCATAGTGATGATGCAACATATTTTTGGAGAAGATATCACCAGTCTACTCACAGACTGCATTAATATCTCATCCAGAGGTGGTATTCAGCAGCTTCTGACCAGATCTGAAGAACCCGTAGCGGAAATGTTGAATAGTTCAGAGAACTGGTAAATACCACCTCTGACTGGCCCCGCCCCATCTATTCTCTGCCTCCCAAGTACCCGCTCATTGGGACAGAATGGGGATTTTGCAGTAACCTTCCCCTGGAGTGCGGAGGGAATGGAGATTTTACATTATCCTTCTCCTGCAATGCCCACCAAGCCATGCCCATCAAACCATGCCCACAGAACCGGTAGTAAAAAAAAAAATGAATCCCACCACTGTTCTGTTGTTGCAATAGAGAAACTGGCTGTGAGGGAATAGCATCTGCCAGCATTGCACTGTAAATTGGGCATGGAAGAGGGTTTCTTTGGGTGGAGCGGCTTATTGTGGAATGTTGCTGAACCTCTTACAAGGACCCAATCTTGTACATAAGCAGCCTGATGAGTGAATCTTCCTTGGAATCCACCTCCTTTTTTTGCATCTCTATGCAAGTGTGGACATGATTTTCTAGCTGTGATATCAGAAGTTTGATGTGCTTTCAGTGCCAAGGAAATATTAAAATAAGCATACCTTTCTTTTTGTATTAAGCTTGTTTGCTTAGGTTTTTTCTATAGTTTTAAATTATTTATTTTTCTTTAATTTGCTCTTTTGCTCAAGTAAGCAAAATGAACTTTAAAATATATATATAGTCTGGTTTTTTTTTAATATAATCTTTAGAGAACTGATTTCTACTGACTATAAAGATAATTCTGTCTCATCGAGAAATATATTGTAAAATATTTCATATTTTATGCCCCTTGCAGATAAGGAAACCTCATACTTAATAGCAGTGACTAATCACAGTTGTATCTGCTTAGTCACAGACCAAAACCAAGGCAGAATTATAAGAAGTAGAATACCCTTCCTCTTTCTTGGCCAAATTTTGATCCATGTAAAGAAAAATGCTTACGAACTGATGTCATCAGAAGGATTGCTGGGCATTTTATAACTATTGCCAAGTTCATTTTCTTCATTCCTATGCAAGGTTGCACCATATTCCATGCCAGGATTACACTATTTCTGAAACTGTTGCCAACAATAGATTGTTGGAGATTGGAACTCCCAGCTCTATACCTGACACCTAAGTTGAAAGCAAAATGGGACTGAAGTGTCATCTGTTGAATGCATTGTAGGGTTGTTGTTACTAGTAGATTAAATGAAGTGGTGGCCTGGAGGCTTCCACCCTTTTTTTTTCTTTTCTTCCCACCTTGTGATCTAGGATAGTTCATGGGGTGAGTGGTAAAAATCCCACCTCTCTCTCGAGCGGTATGTATTTCATGTTTCTGAATGGGTAGAATAAATTGAATGCGATTTTTATCCATAAAGCATTTTAAGCATATTTCCTTTTAGAAACTTGTAGAAAATCATTATGAAGAAGCAACTAATGTCCGTGCATGGTACTGAAGCTTTACTTTCTTTCTATTTTCTTAATTTAACCCTTCCTACAAAGTGAGCATGTTAGCCATACTACCTCTGAGACATAGTCAGTAAACAGAAACAACAACATTCCTGAGTGATTTTTCTCTCTATCACCAATCAGGTCAATGTTTTCATAAGGGCAGTTTACAAATTAACACCTAATTGAGGTGGAGGCATCTAGCAGACTTGGTAGTGATTGCAGTCCACATAAGTATGAGGAGTGGATACTTCTTATCACTATACACCTTCCCAAGCATCATTCCAAAGCTAAATGTTGACTTCCATAATTTAATCAAATATCCTACAGATTGGACAAGCCTGTACACACTAAACACTGGACAATCATTTGTCCGAAATGGTATAGTGATGGTATAGTAATGAAATACTCATTCAGGGATTGGAGTAGGTCCTTTCCAACTGTATTATTCTATGTTCTATGCTACATTTGAAGCAGAAGTTCTCAATTTGCTGAATTAATTGCCACTTTTTGGGATGAGGTAAAAGTGGATTGTAACACATAGAAATTGTAGAAAAGTGTTAAATGGCTACCACACAACAATATTTATTTGGCTTAGAATTATTTAGGAAAACACTCCCCAAAGGAAAAGTTAAACAGTCAAAAATAGACATTCTACACTTTTAATTTCACCCATTTTAAAAATAAATTATTTGGGGAAAACTATTGGTCTATATAGAAAATACAGTATCTATTTTTCATAGTTCCAGTTGAAAAAGCCTATTTGCCTACAGAAAATGACCATAACCTGATTCTAAATGAAAGTTGGCTTTTTGTTATCAAAATATAGGCTTGCAAAAGTGTTAGATTATAGATGGACATTTTTCAGACATGAAATTATTCAAATTGTCACTTTGTTTATGACATCTTAAAATGATGTAACATGTTATTTTCTCCTCTTACATACATAGATTTATCTTTTCTTAAGAATAAAAATTGGGAACTCCACAATTCTGTTTCTGTTCCTTATCTTTGACAGTAATATTTAGTACGTATATTTTATGTACTAAAATATCTTTAGAGTTATATTGAATATAAGAAATACAAACCTTTTTCTTTTTCCAAAAGATTGAAGAATTTAGAAACCATGCTAATTTCCAAAATATTGTGACTCTATAGGTTAACCTGAATATAAAATAACAAAGAAAAATGGACTTGTAGATCTAAAATTTTGAAAATCAATAATACTTTTTGCATTGTTGCCTATTTACAAAATTGGGCAAATTGAAATTATTTAATGTTTCACTTTTGAAGCTACAGACCACTAAGTGACTGAATATTTACTATGAATTAATTATAACATGACACTTTCCTTATGTAATAGATAAGAAGTACAATTTCTATAACTGTGACAACTCTTGTATAAGAAATTAGCTATGATTTCTCCACATTGTGATATGTTTTTATTAATACTTTGAGAATTATGAAGTGATTGTGTTAGAACAGCACTTATAGACATAGATGGGAATACAGTAATTTGTTAAATTTTTATTATTGGAATTCACCTAAAATGCTACAATGGCATTGTATATGTGGAAGATCGATTTTGTTTATTTTAATATCACAAGCAATGCTTTTGGGTTTGGACAGAATGAAAGCTAATTTAGAATAAAAGAGACCCTCAAGACAATAGGATAGGGCCCTGCTAGATTGAAGGGACTTTCATAGTCCAGGAGTTGAACAGCAGTTAATATAGACAGAATACGTAAGAATTTATGTGTTTTCATCATAAAAAAGAGTTGTGCATATGCACAGAAATGGATTTAGTTCTATTGGACTAGGCTTCCATATTTTATAATCAAGTGTTGTGTTCCGTAGTCACCTGAAAATGTTGGTAATGAAATACAGAACTTGTGATGGGAACATCCTCGCTGGGACATCAGGTTTTTTATTTTTGCAGCTTCTTGCATTCCATCCTGGATCTAAATGCTCAGTTTCCTAGTACAGAACTACGAATTTGGGGGGAAAAACAGGCTTTCCTGATACAGAGACTTTCAGATATCTTGGATTATAAATATTATCATCTCTACCAGGCATGAATTTTCTGATTTCTGTAGTGTTATCCTTTCCCCATTTGTTATTGCAAAGTTGAAAACAATGTTTTGAATATATGACAATGCATATATTCATGAAAGTACAGCATTCTGTCTTTTGTTTAGAAAAAAATTAGAAAAAAAATTGTTACCTGTTGGTGTATGTGTGTTGCTTCTCTTGCAACCTAGCTCACTAGTCTAACTAATGTCTCCTTAATTCTTACTTTATCTTTAGTAAAGTGTTTAGATGCATGTTGCTAGAAAGAGCCATTGAGAAACTTACATATCGTTTAAGGCGGCTTGTGGCTTATAGTAGCTCTGCTATTAAATTCTACCTACCATAAATGGTTTGATTTTAATAATTTGGAAATAAAGCTAGATTTAAATTGAATGAACACTTCAGTCAAAAATAGCCAAGGGATTTATGTTTTCAAGATATGCGAAAACATTCCTGTCTCTTTGTGCAAATATTTTTGCTGCTCAAGTTGTAAGCCCACTAGAGGGCAATGTTGTCATGCTGTCGCCATCAAGCGTCTCTGGTTTAGTGGAGCAGGAAAGGCCATCACTGTTTAGTCTGCTCTCGAAGGGTCTCGGCATGACCAATGTGGACCCCATGGACTTCCTGGAACATGTGTTAGCAATTTAGGAGCAGACATTTATTTCTTTGTTTTACTGCCTGGCTCTTGGAAAAAAGTGTTGGTGCCGGGTTATGGGCTGTCTGGATCATGTCAGAGGCCATGGGGATCAAGTTCATGTGACAGGGCAAGCAAAAGGATGGAGGAGGTGAGGAAGCTGCCCCTCCCCAGGAGCAACAAATCGCTGCCTGTCTGTGGACTGCAGCCAAAAGACAGGCCTTGCGGAGTTCCTGGGACAGCTGAAAAAACACGGCATAATTCTGCCCGATTCCCTCTTTTGCTTAACTAGTGCATTAAATTACTATAGTTTTCATTTTTTTAAAGAGGTGGTGGTGGTGGTGATGGGGAAGCTAGCTCAGTAATAATTTCTCTTTCCTCCTTCAAATTTCCATTTTAGCACCATCCCGAAGAGGGGACCTTGAAACCTTGGGCTACTGTATGTTGCAGTGGATCTGTGGAAGTCTACCCTGGGAGCAGAATTTGAAGCATCCCGAGGCTGTGCAAGCTGCAAAAACAAAGTAAAAAAAGTGTTGTTTATTTAATTACATGTTCTGCTCTGACTCTGCAAAGCAGGACAGGTTGAAAGGATGGGGTATGTGTATATATATATGTGTGTGTGCAGGGATCACCCTTTGTAAAGAATCATTTCCTCCTCTTCCTCCCCACCCCCCACCCCCCACCCCCCAAAAAAGAAAAACCTCCTTCAGCAAATCAAAGCAAACCTAAATATAGCTGTATGAAATAAAATACATTTTTGGATGGAAAGCATAGGTCCCTAAGTTACATTTCTGAAAGAATTGCAAGAATACAGTCAACATTAACGGTGCTTATTGCTCTTATTTTAATTAATATTTGATCCCCTTTTGTAAAAATCCATTGGAAAGCAAGATCCTTATTGCTGAGGGAGTTGAATGGCTTCCCTCTCCTCTTTTGTATTATCTGTGCTAAAGGACAGCAGCTGGCAACTTTAATGAAGATGACAGGAGAAGGTTCTGCTAAGCTGCCAGGAGGTTCACAGATGAGGCCTTTTCTTGACAAAAAGCACAAGGTGTTTTTTTTGCAGTTGTTCCTCTACCTACAAGCGAGTGTGGGTCAGATTGTGACCAGATAACAGTAATGAATTCCCAGTCACTGGAAGGGAAGCCATGTGTGCTTGTGTTAGGCTCCAGGATTAATCCCCAATGAATGAATTTTTCTTAAACAATCATAGCCTAGAGTACTCTTCTGAGAAACCTCATAAAGTTGACATTCTGACTAATTTTGCTGCAAATGTGCTATATGGATTCACCTACATTCGGATCCCATTTGTTGTGTAAGGAATATACTATTATGAAACTTATCTTCAAAGGATAGGGGGTTACCTGCTATCACAAGAATATTGTGAGATGGCCAGTTCTCAGCACCCCATTGCTTAAGTCTATCCATCCTAACTCCCATCCGTTTTCCGCTAGTCTGTAGTGCATATCTCTTTAAACAGATGAAACCAGTCTGTACAGGAGTGTTTCTTGATAGCCTTGGATAGCTAAGACAGCTGACCTCTCTTAGTGTCTTGAATCATAGTGTTTTGAATTTTTAAAATACAAACTAACCTATGAAATACAATCCTGCAGCAAAGCCTCATTGAATACAATTGGACAATTATTAGTTGCAACTACAATATTCTATTTATTTGAGAGATTTTGTATAATTACCTTTAACTTGAATGGAACACATGTTTGCATGTGGCATTGATTAACTATTGGATAACAAAAAAGGTTGTTAATCAGTTGTTGTAAGTTTTATTTTTAAGGTCTTGGTACCTTGCTTTTGAATGTAATTTTATTTTCCCCATGTATTCCCTTCTTTTTAAAGGGTATTTTCAGAAAGGCCATTCATAAATGTGAAAAACAAAAGGAAGCTGGAATTTCACCTGCTTCCTAAAGCATGTAATTAGCCCCACCAAAATGGAACTTGTGTGGCATGCCTCTCTGCCCTTACTGTGAGACCTAAGTAAGTGAATTATTGGGCCCCACACAGCCAGTTTCTTGGCTCATAATATACCAGCTATGCTGCAGTGGAGGGTTACAAGTGGCAAAGGCAGCAAAGTTTTAAATAGGGCAAGTCACAACAGAGGTACACAATAGGGATGGCTTGTTCTGAAGAAATCAATCTGCACATTCAGTTTGGCAGTGGCTCTCTGCAGAGAGAGGGAGGGAGGTTAGCCTGCAGGCTGCAGATAATACAGATTGTATCTGTAAATGTTGACTTTGTACAGTATTGTTTAATATTTCCTCCTTTAAAACTCTTGATCACTACAATTCCCCACTACCTGCCTCTTCAAGCAATTCAGTATTCAGGCAATGCAATCTTTAAAAATTATTAATTCTACACTCAACAGTTAACCCCATGAAAGGATGGTACATCTCTTTCCTAAAGTCCCTTTACTATATACACACACATATATGCTCTTCAAGATTCTTGATATTTTACTAAAAAAAATTAAACATTTCCAATGTTTATCTTGCTAATATGGATTGAAGAACAAATTATAGACCCATGTTTTGATTGCCTAGATTTGGTTATTCTCAAATTAAATACTTGGGTAGTTATGAGTTTTCCATTAAGTTGTGTTATCTGCTTAACTAACACATTTGGTATGCAGCAACAGTATATAAATTAAGTAGCTTAATGCAGAGAAAGGGTTTTGTAAATCTACATATGTCTTTTGCCCCTTTCAATTCTTACATGAAACGTCTTCATATTTATTAGAAGGAGTAAATTTTATGTCAGATAAGATGCAGTAATAAGCCAAATGACTATATTGGGTATTTGACAAGTCAATTAATTGGATTTTGGGCAAAAGGAATGAAGAAAGCATCTGCTGGAGAATTTGTGAAGCTAAAGTTGTCTGGTGTTAAGCCAGATTTTTGCCAAAGATGGCTTTGGATTCTAGTATGCATTACCTTTTATGGAATGAAAGGAATTATTAGCTTATCAACAGGAGGACCCCAGATTTGGTACAGACAGAGTAGCCTATTTCACTTAAATTATTAGCACTGCAGATAGTTCTCTGTAACAATGACAGTTGTGACTGAACTGGAATTGCAGTAAGCAACATAATTATATAGTGTGATGTCATGTGACTACACCGTTTAGCAACAGAAGTTGCTGCTGCTAAGCAAACACTGTGCAATTTGTTAAGTGAGGACCTCATATACCACTTCCTGCTGACTCCCCGTTGACTGCTTGTGGGAAGCTTGGAAGGAACACCGGGAATTGATACCATGTGATTGCAGCCTGTTGTGATGTTGAAATTTTGAGCCAGACACTGAGTGTCCAGTTCACTGTCATGTCGCCGCAGGGATATTGCGAGGACCAGAACCGATGATCAATCATAAGTACTGCCTGCTTAGCATTGTCACAAGTTCCACGGATAGTGGTTAAACACCTGTACTTGGAAAGAAGCAGCTCCTCATAATTTGGCACAATATAGACCACACAATGGGGCCAAAGCATAATGTGGTACTTAGACTTTTAAAACAATTAAACAAGGATAGACTGAATGTCTGTACAGGTAGTCCTCGACTTACGACCACAATTGAGCCCAAAATTTCTGTTGCCAGGTGAGACATTGGTTAAGTGAATTTTGTCCCATTTTACCACCTTTCCTGCCACAGTTGTTAAATGAATCACTGCAGTTGTTAAGCTAGTAACACGGTTGTTAAATGAACCTGGCTTCCTCAGCATAGCATTTTGTTCCTTATGTTCGCCAAAATCTTGACATTGTATGGGTGTATAAAAATCTTGACCTCATATGGGTGTGTATTGTAGTGACTGGTGCAATGTCTAGCCTTGTTATTTGGGATTAGTGTTCTCACGTGAACTTTGATGAAATGGATTGTGGTCTTGATCCTTGCTCTACTGGCATTTTAGGGAACCCAGCAATTAAACATAATCAAGTGTAATATATTATGTGAAAATAACTGATAGATGTTTAAATGGCCTGGTGAAGCCTATTGTGTGGAGGGGATAGAGTGTGCTGGATAGAAGAAAGTGGAAAATCAAGAATCATATCTGATTCTTGATATTCTAAGATCTCTGCTCATGGCAGCTCTCATACTGGGCAGTACAATAGTGGAGTCAGAAAAAAATGAGAAGTGGGTGAAGAGGAAAACTTAAGCATCCATCCATTGCTTATTTTTTCCAAATACCTTTCTTGCTATTTTCCCAGGGTCTGCCATGCATGTCTAATCTAAAGCTGCATAAAAGCTGAAGTAAAAGTAAAATATTTTCTTGTTATCCCTGGAGTATGATTACGGGCTAGAACCCAGAAGACCCTGAGTCCCACCTTAGGCACAAAATCAGCTGAGTGACCATTGGCCAGCCTCTCTCTTTCAGCCTTAGGAAGGAGGTGATGGTAAACTTCTTTCAAAAAACCTTGCAGAAGAAAACCGCAGGAAGAAAATCCAGGAAGTTGCCAGGACTGACTTAAAGACACTTAGATAGATATACAGATATCAGTAAGGAAGAGAAGTTAACAAATCAATTGCCTTGCCCCACCTAAATGGAAATGCTTCGTACTAACAAAGATATTGTTGGGATAGCTATATCTAATTGTTTGCCTCTGATTTAACCAATTGCAAATAATTATTTGAGCACTCTTAGTATCTGTTTTCAGATCTGACCAATATTCAGCATGCATGGGCCTTTTTTAAGAGAGCAGATCCTTACATTTAGAGACCTGCTTGCACATGGGCTATTCTTTTTATTATTTTGGCTAGTATGCTTTCTCCTCCTCATAGGTCCATCCCTAGAGCAGTAGGAGACATTCGGTTCCTTTTGCTTCTTTCACAGTAAATTTCATGATATTGGGGTTTTTTTTAACTGTAGGACAAAACTTCCTATCAAAGCTATACTTAATTACTGGTCAGTCTTGCTTTGAAAGAAAGCAGATGCTATAAACAATAGTTCTGCTGCTGAATCTTCCTCATATTAAAGAAATGATCACTTAAAACTGTTGAATTACAAAAGGGTTTATTCATTTCCAAAGCTAACAAGAAACAAAAATTCATACAAGCATTTAAACTGTGAAACTGATTACTATGAGAGGTGGTGATCTCTCTCTCTCTCTCTTTTGCTTGCTGTGATCTGGACCAGTGATCAGTACAGTACATTCCAATATTAAAGGCTATAGTGTGTGTGCATGTGTGCGTTTGTGCACGTGCATTTGTTTTAGCACAGAAATATGTCGGCGCTGGGGTGGATTAAGCCTGTATAAGCAAGTAATTGACAAACATGTTGACTTCAGACCAGCTTTTGAATAGTATGAAATCTGCCAATGATGTCAGGATAGGAGGTGAAAGCCACTGGAGACTTCCTAGTGAAAAAAGCTAAAATATTGGGAGCTTCAAGGTCCATTTTTGGTTTGTCTCTTTTTAAGTATTTTAATTTTTCCTCTGTTAAAAGTAATCTTTTAGCGAATATTTGAAGGCTGCGATAAGCACAAATCCCAACGTTTTCTCAGTCATTCCTTACCTTGTAGAAATAATTGTAAAGGTAAAAAAGGCACATTGGTTGATTCACAGGTAGGCATAATCTTTGCTATAGCATTCTCTGCTATAGAAAAGAATGTACAGTTTAACTTAGAAATTTATTAAGCAAGAAACTCTTTCATGATTTGGTGCAATTTTGGAATTACTTTAGATTGGTATTCCATATACTTACTTGAGAATAAGCCTCACTGAACTGAATAGATATAAATAGGAATAGCAAATTTATCAAATACTATCAGTGTATAAAATCCATTAGTGAGCAACAAGGAGGAATCAGGTGAACTCTTTAAAATGTGGCTATTAATCTATACTCTAATAGAAAAGAAAGCAAACTTATCATGGGAGGAATTTCTTCTCTTTGGCAGGAACTCTTGTGAATGTATTTTCTTGGCCATAATTCTGTGTAATCTAATATCTGTCTGTAAAGAGTTAATATAGAAGAGAGGGAGATTTGCTAACTATTCTTGGTTCCCAAAGAATTTGTTAGCTTCCAAAGGGAGGATTACCATTTTGCCCTCAATCTCACAAGTGGCTCATTCTTATGGTTCTAGGCTTCTTGATGAACTGCCTGATTCAGTAACAAGGTGGGCTCCTGCAGGAGAAAACTGTGGTAAGTGTAAACACATGTGAGCATTATTATATTTCTCCCTTGAGGATGGCCACTCAATTTGCCTAGTTTATGACTCCAAATGGCCAATATTTCTATTTCAAACTTGGCTTGAAAATGCTGAAAGGTGCACCTTCACAGTGGTAGAGGAGAAAAGGATATGTTTCTGTTTCTTCCAAGCTTATAAAGCTATGGACCTGGTCAAAATCTTTTCCCCTTAATTTCCTGCTTCTGCCTTCAGCTGGGCACAGCATATTGCAATGCCTTCTAGAGCAGGGGTGTCATACTCAATTCCATTGATGGGTTGTGTTTGGGTTGTGTTTGACCTCGGGGGACGGGGTGGTTGTGGCCAGGATGGGCGTGGCCCCTTCGGCATCACTCTAGTCAGGGGAACCTGTGTTGGCCCGAGTGCTCTGCCAGTGAAAACAGATCTCAGGAGACCACATGTGAATTTGACACCCCCTTTCTAGAGCTACCGTGAATGAAAATAGTCTCTTACACCTTTCATAAAAGTGAACTATCCTTGATAAAATGGTCACCTCAATTCAAGTTGTTTTGGTGTTTTTCTAAACGAAAAGAGTGATATGTGCTTTATAGACATGCCACAGAGATGTTTTTTCAATTAGAGATAAAGGAATAGATAGCTAATAGGTGGTTGTTTTTTTTTTTTGGTAAAATACCCAAATCCCACAATAGGTAGCTGATTATGGTTTTGAAAGGAAGTTAGAAACAAGTGGATACTGAATACCATATTTTTGTCTTATTAAAGAACGGTGTTGCTGCTAGGTTGCTATCCTGCTTCTGTTTGTTCAATTTAACTTGCTCTATGATTCTGAGACAAAATGTTCACACAAGATGTTAAAATGTAGTAATTATATATATTATGTTCAGTTTGGCGAAACCTAAATTATTTTATTAAAGACATTTAAAGCTTATTTGGAAAGAATGATTCTGCAAAATATATATGTTATTTAAGAGCATTTTTATATTTCCTAATTGTTGCCAACATGGAATTTGCCTTTCTTCGTAGGAGATAAAAACTCGTTCAGTATTGATACTGAGCCTTCATCACAATCACAAAGTCAGCTTCAAATCACCTGGCTAAAATCCTATTAACCTACATGTGATAATGGGGGGGGGGGGTGTTGTTTTTTTGTCCCCATCATTGTATAGTGAATAACATTTACCAAGACATTTCTACTTCCTTTCAGTTATTTATTAGGAAAACTTTATTTAATGCAGTTTTAAAATGTTAAATAAATCACTATGAGTACATATGCTATTTTAATGCCAATTTCCCTTGCTGGAAACCCTTGAGAAATCTGTTTTAAGTGGCTTGAATTATTTGGTGTAATCAGCAAAATTAACCACCTCCAGATTATGAACAGCAGTGGCATCAGTACTTGGTAATTTAAGTAAACAATGTCCATTGCAGTCTCCTTTAGAAGAGACTTGTTGACACTTTTAGAAGAACTGGAACCTAATGGAATTGTTTCTATAAAAATAATTATTCTTCAGCAAGGTTTGTCCTATTGGCTTGAAAAGTTTTGTTAATGTTTCTAATAGTTCACTTGAAACAACTATTAAACAAAGCAGCCTATCACTTCTTATTGCTCCCTAAAACCATTAACTATGATACTTTCCCCAGATTAAAGATGAATTTTCCTCCAGTACTTTTTCTAATAGAGGTTGATTTAAGGACATGTAATACTGTTAAGAGATCAGCGTTCATACATTTTGACTTCTCTGTGACTGAATACCATCTGGTCCTGTCAACTGAATTTCAAGGAACTATTTATGTCACTATTTCAGAGTTTCTATGTGTATTAATTCAAATATGAATATTGTCATACATTTCCAGGATAATGCATTTAATTTCTCTGCAGTGTCTTGATAATTTTTTCATGTCCTTGTCTCCTTTACTACCCAACCGTTTATAACTTCATTAGAGGGTATTTCTATAATTGTAATCATTAATGCTTTTAGCCCAAATTGGCCCATAATTATGATGTTGTGTTGTTTGTTGTAACCTATATTACTTCCTTACATGCCTTCTGAGTTTATACTCCATTCTCTTGTTTTTTATAAAGATTTTTTTTAACTAGTAGCTTGTTTGATGCATCAGTTTTGAGCTTAATAATATTATCTAAGTTATGGTACACATTCTAACAAGGTTTCTGCTTATAAACCTTACATTTTTAAAATTTTTTGACAAGTTTCTTACACTGGACTTCCCTATTTTTATTTCGTTCTAAGTTACTTTTGCTGACAAGCCCATTTACATTTGATTTGCTAATACATCTTATGAAATAAAAGGATTAAGATGTCTTCAGATTGAGCCCAGTTTTGATTACTAGGCAGGGTTTTTTGACAAAAATATTGATGTAATTTCTCATTACCTTCTTTTAGAATTTTTAAAAAAACTTCCAATAAGCCTAAAATTCTCTGGTAGTCTTCTCTCAGAGCAGTAAGTAGGACCGAGTCTAAATAACCTTTTTAGCCCAGGAAGATTGGTTGGGTGCTGCCGTTGGCTGAGACCTTATTTCTGCTTTTGGGTCTCATTAGGCTTTATATTTAGCTTCTCTTTGTTCAATGAATAACTGTATGAAGACAATTGTTCTGGATATCCCCTTTATTAGATGTGGAGTGCACATTTTGCCATTTTATGGGAAGATTACTGCTTCCACTCTACATAAAATATCTCTTTTTTAATGTAATATTCAAATAAACCTAATATTTTTGTGAGTTCTTTGAAAAGACTTGATCTATAATCTGAGTGGCTCACAAGAACATAATAGTTTATTTATAATCCACTTTTGGAACTTGTTCTTAAGCTGGAAAAGAACATGCTACAGATGTAATAGCAGCCACATCAATTGCATTTTTGAATGTTAATACTAAAAAATGCAGGGAAGTCAAGAGATCATAAGGCAAGTTATAAGAAGACAGAAATAGCATGACTTGTACCTTGGATCAAATATTGACTGCAAATTGTGAATGTTTATTTTCTTTTACTTTGATGAACAATGAGATTTGTCCAATTTTTCTCAACTAGGTTGATACTAAGTAAAGGGTTTGCTCGTACATACTCATTTTTACTTTAAAGTTATGCATTTGAGTTTTCTATACCTACCTCATCTTTTTTCTTTTCAGATGTATCCTTCTAGAATAAAATCTGGAGTTCAGTATTACTAGCCTTATGCTCCGAGTTTGTACTTCATCCATATTTCAATATCTTCATGTTACATGTCATGAAATAAACTGGTGTTTGTATTTATTTGTAGTCTTGTAGAAACATCAACTTTTTCAGCTATTCATTCCAAACTGTCAAGTACTACATTAAGCTAATGCAAATCTGTTTAATTGGTCTGTAGAATGAACCTAAGTGGGCCATGATGTAACCAGTGGTTATAGTGACATGAAAAGCAATATAAGCTTTGCATTATTTCTTTGAATTCTGTGAAATATGTGCATTTGATAACAGTGGAAAAATCTATAGTTGTCACCAAGGCATTTGATTAGACAATGTTGAAAGTAGAATGAGAGACTAGAGAGGTACATACCTTAATCTAGTAAACATTTGTGATTAAAATTAGATTACTTGTGTGCATTAACTGGTCTGTTATGTTTTTTCCAGGTGAAATAGCCAGATTTTTAAAAAATGTATCCAATTTAACATATGATGGAAAACCCCAATATGAAATATTGAGGAAAATCCTTTTGAATGGCCTGGAACAAAAAGGAATTTGTTACATGGAGACGCTGGATTTACCCTCTGTTCAAACCTCTCTAAATGAATGCACAATTCACCCCAGGAAAGTAAGTAATGAAACAATAAAAGTCCAGTCTAAATAAATAAGAGCTAATAATACATCTTGTAAGGATTAGTTAACTTTAAATCAAATTTAATATTTGGGGAAATTAAACTTGTAGGAGTATATGAGATGTCTTTTTCAAATTATTCCTTTTAATTGCTGAATTGAAAGTGATAACTTTTGAGGGAAATGGAAGAAAGAAAAAACAAGAGGGGAGGATCAAAGAGATCCGATATATCCTTAGCAGCTAATAGAACCTGACTGAAAAGCTATAGAGTTGGACCAGGTTAGTACATAGATTGAAGATCTCCTTGAAATATCAATAGACTAGACTGGGGGGAGGGGGGAGAGAACGATTCCAGAAGGCAGGAGTAAGCAATCCTGCTTTCAGAGGGACTGCATCAATATTTCCATGAAGCCGTTCAGTATTAAGCTTGCTTTACAGGAGTTTCACCTTGGAAGAGCTTCATATTATTACTAGAGACAGATTAGGATGGTCAATCCAGTCACTTGGGAGTAAAAAAAGGACTCTGTGGCATCTAAGTAAACTGTAAAGTAGATTATGCTACATTTTTGAGCATAAGTTTCTGATTTAAGGTATGGAACAAGCAATGTTCAGTGTTAAAGTGCTAAACCTTCAGATTAGATAATCCAGTACATTATTAAACTTTGACATTTTCATGGATAGGTTCCAAACAGAATGTCACACTCAAGTTGGAGGATAGTCTTCCTTGGAGCAGATATGTTTAATTTTATTTTCTTTCTGCCTAATATAGTTTGTGTTCTGTGATATTTGTGAATCATCATGAATGCCCGCAATATTCCACAGACCATATTTAAAGCAGTTACTTTTTATTGCTCCAGCTATTTCATTTTCTCTATCACTAGCACCAACCTTGAGATTTTATTTTTTGGCCATATTTTCATTCTTGCCTTCCAAAAGCTTTATACTTGGATTACGATATGTGTCTCAATATAAATGAACTGTGATACCATAGTGCTCCTTATTTGTGGGTTATTGGAAACTTACAGTAATAGTAGTAGCAGTAGTAGTAACAGTAATAACAAATCTTTATTATTAATCTTGGATTAATATGATTAACAGAATTTCCCAACCCCAATTAAAAACATGACAAGGTTGTCTCTTGCCATATGGATAAGTCTGAAGTCTTTGTTGATGAGTATTCATTAAGGCAAGGTCAAGACGTCATTCAGTTTTAATATCCCTAGTGAACTTTGGACTGTCACAATAATATATTAATCAAAAATGTGGGATGCAAACTAAAGTGACTGATCGGCTGTAAGATAAATGGTGATCCAGATCTTAATGCACAGATGGTTTTGATTTGCTGAATTTTGTAGCTGTTGCAACTGAAGACATAAAATAGCAGCCTAGTCATAAATTAGCTCTTTGGAAGCCAAACCTTGGCACCAAAGCTTTACAACCTTCAATTACTAGCAAAAGAAGTATTTGAATAACTCTGGTATTGACATTGGTAGGTCTGCATAGTAATCATTCCTAATAGAAGAGAATCTCTGTTTGAGGGGCTTTTGCATGGCTAATTAACTACCACTGAGAATATGTAATTTTTTCATGATCTTCCGATTGTCACCTTTCTCTCATGATACAATTACATTTTATTGTAGCAAGTGCCTTTGGAAACCCAATTGTCAACACTATTTACATTGTGCAGAAAAGCAGAACAAAAGTTCATGTTTAATAAAAAGCCACTGGATTTTGATCTTGGTAATTGCCAAGACTTTTTTTCCCAGAGTTTTATAGACTTTGGTATTTTTTTTCATCACTTTTTCCACAAAGCAAAAAGCTATTTCCTTGCTGCTGTGGTTGCCATTTAATCTAAATTAATTGGAGCAGCTTCTTTTTGTATCTGTGATTGGTGCAATTTTCTAAAGTTAATTGAAATATGCACATTTTTAATTAAGAAATCTGCTTTTTGACAAGTTTACTTCTTTCATCTGTAAACACAGATCTAAGTTACAGTCACTGATTCTATTAAAGCTATAGCAATATCCTTACTATTCTTAATAATTCTACTTTAAAAGCTCCTCTTGGATCATAATCCTCTGAAACAATGTCTAAAGATTTATAGGAGCTCCTTGTAAAATGAAACTGACTTGCATTCTCAGATTCAGCCTCTTGCCTCCTCATTCTTCTTCAAGCTTTTCAAGCTTTGGAAATCTTAAGTTATAAAATGCCAGAACAAGACATCCAAAGATTCACAAGACTTATCAGTTTTCTCATGTCTAGGACTTGGGAGAAAATTTAGACTAAATTGCTTATACTTATTTTAAATATCAGAAGATAGTTTAACACCATTAAGTGATCTTCATTGTTTTACAATAGCTTCTTACAATAAGGACACAGCCTGCAAATATTGTCTTGTGATTTAGATTGTAGTGGGAATGTCTATGTATGTATGTATGTATGTATGTATGTATGTATGTATGTATGTATGTATGTACGTGTGTGTGTTTCTACACACACATACAGACAAAGTACAGGAAAAATCTATCAATTCCTAAGAGAAATAGTGAAATTGGCGTTGTAGAAACTTGATTAATGAATAATAAAAATAAATTAGTGGTGGACTTGGCTGGGAACAAGGAGTGGAATTCTAGCCAGAGACTGTGGTCTGCAGACATCTTGGGCATGTGACGCATTTTTTTTCCTTTGAGCTGCTTGTTTGTATGTCACAATACACCTGCTTTTAAAGCTGTATTTTGTTTCAATTGTGCTTTTGCCATGCAAGATTGCAGTGGTGTGGGGAAGGGGTTTCAGAGAAACAAACTTAACCTCATCTGTTGCAATTATTTGCAACAACAATTATATTAATAAAATATTATAGTGGTGTGTGAGGAGGTGCAATATATATTCTGTGCTGGTATAAGGAAGGCAGTAAAACTAAAGGTAAGGAAGGTGTAGAAAAGAAATTAACAGCACCACTTATCCCAGTTGTAATTCCTATGATTTCAATATAGGAATGGGTTACAGAATTGTGTTAAGCAATGATTAATCTAAAAGTGGAAAATTTTCTGTGGGATAGATTAAAGCCTGTCTTAGGTTACAGTATTGGCATCAAGCAAATCTTGATATTAAAATGGGACATTGGGTTTGCTGTTAGCAAGTACATATAAACCTCATGACAAAAAAATGTCAATTGTCACAGCTTGTTACTATGTATTGCTAAAAACAAGTCTATTTTTATAGAAAGCTTCCACTAATTCCAAATTTGATATGTGGGATCTATTCTTAGTCAGTTTTTACCAATGCAATTGCTTCAGATCTGTTCAAATAGAAAAAATGAGATCTGCAATTCAGATTTGGGATAGAAGTAGGACACATAAACTTCCATATTAAAGTATTGTAGCATTGAATAATTTATATAGGACAAAAATTTTGTACCAGGTGTATTTTACTTTATTTTAATACTTTCATATGTGCAGCTTGATATGTCATATATGGTAGCAAATACTATATAATTCATTTTGTCCTGTTCATAACGTACAAAAAAAGATGGAAGAAAGCAGAAGCAGAGATTTAATAATATTGGCAAGAGTTTATAAAAAGTGATTATTCCTTTAGTTTGTTATATATGTCTGGTGTTTGTCATAATACAGTAAATCTTTGATTAAACAGACACAGGGTTGCTTCAAAGCTGAATGTTTGCTAAATGAGGAATGGGATTTTTCTAGCCTAGAAACACTTATATGAAAGAAAAACATCTTTACCGATAGCAGTGAATTATTGTCTTAAGTCGTTCAATTTTGGCAAAACTCAGATTCTGGATATCCACCAAACAGTTACATTAAAATTAGGTTTGTATTTGTGTGATGATAAATATGGGAATTGATACCTACTTAGATAATTTTAAGATCTGTGGCTTGGAATATCTTATCGTTAAAAAGATTAGCATAAAAAAGGATACATACTCATTGCCCAATTAAAACATTTTCCCCGGTATTTGGAACAAAAAAATTAAATTTATTTTGTAAAAATAGATTTAAACAATTGGAGATGACAAATCTTTGCTCATTCTCTGCAAATAATTCACAACTCTTGCCTCTTGAGTGGAATACTGGAATTGGACATACACATTTAAGTGTGTGCTTCATCCAGTGCATTTTATTTGACGGTCTTAGTGCATTGCCAATAAATCCTACTTTATAATTCTTACTCCATCTAAACATTGGTATAATTTGCTAACCTTTCTAATTCTTTTTGCTGTTACTGCTCTTTTCTAGGTTGCACAGCACAAATGCATTTTGCAGCTGTTCGGATTTCAATTTAAACAGTCTCCTGATACATGTAAACCAACAGCTTTAATATAATAGGGAATTTTAAAGGAAGAGGCATAAGGAAACCAAGCCTATCAACATATTATAGATATATAGATTACATTTAAAAGCTTAGAAAAATCTTTTAGTATTTTTTCATTTGTGACACTGACATTAAAATACAGTATGTTATTTATCAACAAACTTGGTTTCACTAAACCTTTCTTCTAAAGGTTACTAACAGTCATCTCAAATTCTCTAAAAAAATACTGAAACTATTTCTTTTTAAAGTAACGCTGCCTTAGGAAAGCAAATTGCAATAATCTTAAATAGCTGCTAATTTCATAAAATTTGTCTATTCCTTGCATGGTTGCATTAATGTTAGCAATGTTTTTTCTAGTATTGTGCATGATCTATTTCATGTTAGGTCTCACTCAAGTTTTTTTTAACATAAAACTAATTTGGTAGATGAAGGCTGCAGCAGTACTGTATCATTTCATGGATTGCACTCAGGATGGCTTAATCTGTACATTTAATAGGCTCATTTGCTGATGCCGACACGGAAGCAAGTTAAAGGACAAGAAAGCCAACTAGAGAACAAGGAATCTTTTAATCTTAGAAAAGCCACTGCACAAATGAAAAGTAGCCAAATACAAGATAAGCCAGTACTCGTTAGATTGAATAAGTTTACTCAAGCTTCAGTGGTGAGTTTGTTATGTTGCATTAAATTGTTTGCTAAAACCTTGTTTTTTTCCATTTTTTACTTTTTTCTTGAAGAACATGAAGTACAGATGATAAATGGAAATAATGTATTTGTCCTGAAATACATACTTTCAATAAATATGAAAGTATTGCTAGCAATTACTATCAAACAAATAATATGCCTAATGCTCCAAATAGATGTTACCAGGGCTAACAAGCCACTAAGAACAAATATTCTCCACACTTTATAAAAGTTGACATGTTAGTTTTCTAGTATATGATTATTCACAAACTGCTTGCTTCAGACAAATTTCAGTCTTGTTGAAGTGGAATATTGTAACCCCTAGCCACAGTTGGCAGCAAAACATACTTAAAAAAAGACTCTTCACATACATCTTTTTGATCATTCCACTTCATTATTTTTTTAAAGAAAATCAATGATGTAGTTACTATTTTTAGTTAGCTTTGGTAATATAAGGGAAGAACAAAGGGTAAAATACAACCTCTCTAGCAACAAAGTACTGAAAATTTGCTCTTGGACAAATTGCCACTAGTAATGTTTTTGCCTTCTTTTTCAGGACTATGTAAAATCATTGCCCTGGACAGATTCCTGCAGTTCTTTCCAGAATTTTGAAGAAAATTGTAGAGAAAATGGAATCACATATTCAGCAGTCCATCGACCAGAACATGTTCAAAGTCTAACTAGCTCTTACATATGCTGGTCCCCTCAGATTGGATTGCATGGAAAACTGTTTCAGTATATTGTGGCCATTGTTGTCCTTGTCTTCTTAATAATGCTATCTCTCTATTTCCTTTGATGCTTTCTCCAGTAAGTGCTCAGGAAATGCAGTTATCCATTTGTATTCAGATTTTCTTAGTAGATATTTTCAGTGTGATTTGCTGGAATAAATTTGTTTCAAAAGCAAAGTTATCTTATGTACAGATTAATATATAAAGCTGCTTACAATATTTTCCGGTATTTTACAAACACCATCAGATTTTAAACATTTGAAATATATACCATTCCCAAAACTTCCAAGTTTAGTGCTTTGTACACTGAGATGCACTACAAGCCTATAATGAAGTTTCCCATGAATTACAATTGTATTATTTTCAAATTTATTTGGAAGCAGTTTTATTCATCTTTGCTTACCTTACTACAATATGGACATTCACCAAATATGACATTAAAACTTTGTCGACTTGAAGGGAGCCCACGTAACCACTGGAGAGTAAAATAAGGTGTTATTTGCTGCACTTGAAGATAGATGATAGCTATGAAAATGTTGCAAACAAGATAAGCATCTCTCCTGTTCAAGGCTTTAACTCAAGAGTACATTTTGATCCATATGTGTCTGTGTCTCTCACATACACACGCGCGCACACACACACATATCTTTGGGAGTGAAGTTGATTTGTTTAAGAGACAATTATGTTATTATGGTTATACTTAGAATTATTTTTAAAACAAATGTAACCCTAAGACTCATCTAAAAGTAGAATTTGCAATAATTATTACTTAAAATTAATAAAATTAATTAATAGCAAACAATGATGCATAACAGTAAGCAGTAATATTCTATATCAGTATATATTATTGTTGTAAAAATCTACTTATTCTCTACTAAGCAATTAGATTCCCATTAGTTTTAAATTAGTACAGCTACTGCATTGAGTTAAATGCCTAGAACAGAAGACAATATTGAATGATTTTGATAATCATACCTCATATAAACAAACTTGATGAAAAGTTTGACCACAATGAGAGTCATCACAGACCTGGTCTGGAATAGCCCCATCTAGACGATAAGCATAGCAAATACCACAATCCATAGAGAAGTCCTTAAAAATATAATAGAATAGTATTAGTGAGGTGGCTGGGTTTAGTATATGCACTGCACCCGAACCAAAGTTCATCCAGGATTTATGAAAAACACAAAGAGCAGAAGTTATACAACACACTAAAACAACCCAAATTACATGATGGCTCAACAGCATTTCTAAAGTTCATCAATTATGTCAAGTTGCAATAAATATTAATATTTTCTTTAAAAATCATGTACTTTGACATTAATTTTATTAATTTTATATAATATTGTACAATATAACTTTAAGTTATATGAGATTTTATGAGGCAAACTGGTTACTTATAATACAAACTTTTTGCGTGTGCACAAAACACCCTCTCTCAGTGAACCAGTAGTAAACCAGTTAGGAACCCACCACTGGTCTGCAAGTATGCAGGAATGTTGTAGGCTAATTAAGAGACTTTTTATTGTGTTTGGAGGCCCACAGGGGAGGGTATTTCTAAGCAGTTGAGTAACTTACTGAGCAATTTTCCTAATGCTTATTATTGGCAATTCCTATAGCAGTGTATTGGGAATACTAGCAAAGAAAGGGATCTTAAACTTGATTGTGACTAAGCTTTAGGGACCTTTCTGGGAAAGGCTCTAAAGCTAGGAAAGATAGAAGAAAAGAAAAAAGGTTGTCCAGCAGCAAGGCAGATAGTTACAGAGGCAATGAATGCACCATTGGACGATCTGAATAACTAGGTTGGAGACAAATTGTTAGGGAGAAAATCTATAAGGTCATTAAGAGTTGACAAAGATTGAAGGTACATATTCAAAAGAGAAATTTCTGAAACATGGTAAGGAATTTGTTCCCTAAAATGGATTATATATGAGATAAACTATTGTGCCATTTTGTGCTATATCTCATCTGATTCCAAAAGGATGCTTCAGAATTAAGGGATGTGAACAAGAGCTGTCTGCAATTTTTAAAGCAGTTACCCCTTTTCCCAGAATCAAAGGGGTAGGCTGCCATAGTGAACAAATAACCCTACAAACACAGATCCTTTAAGGAGCTGCAGCCTCATATAATGTGAAAAAAGTAGTGCACCAGAGGAATAATTTACGATATAATTTACTTGGACTTCAGTAAGGCATTTGATACCTACTACTAGATAAAATAGAAGAATGTGGGTTAAACAGCATTACCACCAGATGGATTCGTAACTAGCTGACCAATCACTCAACGTGTAGTCCTCAATGGAACTGCATCTACATGGAAGGAAGTATGCAGTGGAGTACCCCAAGGCTCTGTTTTAGGCCCAGTACTCTTCAACATCTTCATCAATGATTTGGATGAGAGAATAAATGGGGAACTCTTCAAATTTGCAGATGGCACCAAGCTGGCAGGAATAGTCAACACTCCAGAAGATAGACTAAAGATACAGAAGGACCTTGACAAACTTGAACATTGGGCACTAATAAAATGAAATTCAATGGTGAAAAGAGTAAAGTTCTACATTTAGTCAAGAAAAACGAAATGCACAGGTACAGCATAGATGGTACCTTGCTCAATAGTAGTAAAGAGAGGGATCTTGGAGTCCTAGTGGACAACCATTTAAATATGAGCCAGCCAGCCAATATGAGCAGTGTGCAGCAGCTGCCAAAAAAGCCAACACAGTTCTAGGCCACATAAACAGAGGGATAGAATCAAGATCACATGAAGTGTTAATGCCACTTTGTAATGCCTTGGTAAGGCCATACTTGGAATACTGCATTCAGTTTTGGTCGCCACCATGTAGAAAAGATGTGAAGACTCTAGAAAGAGTGCAGAGAAGAGCAACAAAGATGATTAGGGGACTGGAGACTAAAACATATGAAGAACGGTTACAGGAACTGGGTATGTCTAGTTTAATGAAAAGACTAGGGGAGACATGATAGCAGTGTTCCAATATCTCAGGGGTTGCCACAAAGAAGAGCGAGTCAAACTATTCTCCAAGGCACCTGAGTGTAGAACAGAAAGCAATGGATGGAAACTAATCGAGAGAAGCAACTTAGAACTGAAGAGAAATTTCCTGACAGAACAATCAGTGGAACAGCTTGCCTCCACAAGTTGTGAATGCCCCAACATTGGAAGTCTTTAAGATGATGTTGGATAGCCATTTGTCTGAAATGGTATAGGGTTTCCTGCCTAGGCAGGGAGTTGGACTAGAAGACCTCCAAGGTCCCTTCCAACTCTGCTATTGTATTGTATTGTATATTTTTTCTTACATGTATTCCAAATCCATTTTTTAATCTGATCTGAACCACCACAGAGTTCATTTTGTAAATACCTGGCAGTGCTTGCAAGAGTCTAGGTTGTATCCATTGGGGGAACATTTGTATAAAATGGAACCTTCAAGGTCATATCTGAATGGACCTATATCCCACAATCCCTCACACATGAAACAAAGATATATAATTGTTTTGAAATAGAACAAAGTGAAAGAAGGAAAATTTCTAAAAGAATCAATAATTATTTCTAAAAGTGAATGCGCTATTACTATGTTGGTGGAAAATAAAACTAAAGGGATTAAAGAAAGCATGCCTTATTGTGCATGTCTCACATGGGATGGAGCTCCTACCAGGAAATCCTATTAAGTTCTAGATTGTTCTGATTGGGCTCTTGTCTTATCCCATGAGAAATAATCACAGAGCTACAATGAAGAACTAGTCTTAAACTTAATTGGTTAAAATACACATTACTGTTTCTAATTAATTGTGTCTTTTAAAGCAAGTTTAAATGTTTTAATCAGTATTTATAAAACTTGTATGTGGTAGCCACCATTTTAGATGAGACAGTGTTTTTTTCTAAGATAGTAGATATATATGCATCACCAGAGGCCATCTTTTTTCCCATCCAGTGTTTTATTTGCATGCAAATTTAACTTTTTGTATTCTTCTTTAATTAACTAAGATCTTTCAATCAGCTTATAGTTTTACGTTTTATCACTCACAGAATAAAAACAATAAGACCCAAGGCAGGATACATGGACAAATATTGCCTTTATGATATTTTACTACAGATTTTCTATTAGTAGACTGAAGATAGGAAATCATAGCATATAAAGATTCAAATGGAGCTTTGATTAAACTCAAGCAATTCCTTTCTCAACTGATCTTGATGTATACATCTTTTTATAGGAAAGGGCATTAGGTGATATGAAAGCTCTCAAATTACGGTGACCTACCAATGTGTTACAGCAGAGTGTCACATATAATATGTGCAAGATATTACAAATTCTTCATGAATAAACAACATCATAAAATGATACTGAGATATTCAAAAATTATACCTAGTCAGAGCATTTACAAACCCGACATTCTACGGGCAAGGAAGAAACCATATCTTGCCCGATTTTTTATTATTATTGTCATTCACTATGAGCAAATACAAAAAATAAATCTGAATAGGAGATCTCCAATAATTAAGATGCACTTTACTGTTAGAGGTTTATGGATTTTTAGAGTCCAAAGGCCTTCCTGCACAGCTAGCCAACATAAATAGACCATATTTATTTAACTTATTCTCAGAATTTTCCAAAATAGGAAAGAATAAAATGGGCAGGTACATGGATGGAAGAATGTGAACTTCTTTCTCTGTGTTTAGTGTACATTCTCACTTGAAACAGATTTTTTTTGTATTAAATGTATTACATTCAACATTAATTCTGATACCAAACACCATAGATAGATAGATAGATAGATAGATAGATAGATAGATAGATAGATAGATAGATAGATAGATAGATAGATAGATATAGAGATAGATCGATANAGATATAGATAGGTATCAGAATTAATGTTAAATGTAATACATTTAATGCAAAAAATATAAAAACAC